TCCTGACGACAGCAGTGATACTGCCTTGGTTAAAACAGCAGAAGCACTGCTATTAATTCAGGGGTTTAATTCCATTCCAAATAAAGACTCTCCAATTTACAAAGTCTGGTTATATTATGATCCAGAGGTTTGTTCTGTCATTCCCTGACTTGAAATTTCTCTGCACTTGTAAGTGCACTTTGTGAGACTGTTATTGACACTTTCTATACTCAAATTGGGCTTAACACAGGATTACCCACACCCAGTAATGCCATTTAAAATGGATACTAGAATTATGGTTGTTCCAGTTCCTCAAATTCTTAATGTTTTCTTAAATTTCTGACGATGACAGTAGCTAAAGAGAACGTTTGAACTTTGTGTTGCATTCACTTGATTGAGGTCACACACGTGACAGATCAGTTCACAACTAACATTCAGTCCATGTGGAATTTATGAGGGTCTGTTTTCTTTTCATAACCTTTATTTTCCTGTCAAAATTCAGGAGTTTAGTTTGCCTCTGTGACATGGCGTGATAAGGCTGCACCCACTCAGGCTGTAAAGCTGTTCGGTCGGTTAAATCACAGTCCGTTGGGGAGCAAGAAACTACCAAGGACATCAGAGAGTTGTAACAAGCCAGCCCCCATTCTAATTTAGGCGTGAGGCTTCTTGGTGACATAACTGAGACCTCCCCATGCCTGCGAGTGAGTGACTAAACGTGACTTAGTTACCATCACAACAAGGAACTTGTTTTGCTGACTCAGTGAGACTTCTTGCATTAAGTCTAAGAGAACCTGTGCTAGCAGTGCTGCTCGCTGGAGCTGTTCTGCTTTGCACGAAGCTCAGATTCCAGTTATGTCCAGCAATGAAAATAATACAATAAAATAAAGCACAGCATGTTGGTGTCTCTGGGCAGCCTTGTTGTATGTTCTTATCCCCTCCTTTCTGTCACAGCTCTTTATGGTTTCCACTGGGCACGCACAGTATCGTGTGTGTGTTCTTGTTTTGTGTCAGGCATTTTCATATTGTTTGAACTGTTAAACAGCTGCCACATTCACAGCTTAAACGTGAGCCACCCAGAAGCCTAAAAAGTAGAGAAATTCCTTTGCTCACAACAGAACTGGGCCCAAATTTTGTAGAGTGGTTTGAGCAACCACATTTAGTAGTAACTATTTTATTGAAACGAAATGAAGAGATAACAGACCTTGTAATATGTTGTCAATGCATTAAGTAGCATCACTATAGTAATAAGACTACAACTGATGTTCTGTGTTTGTATGTTAATACTAACATTTGTCTGTTGCTTTTTTTCCATACAATTTTGAAATTACCCTCCCTGCAACTCCGTAGTATGTAGACGGAAAACCAGCACAGCCTGTTGTAGAACAAGAGGTATATTAACTGTACGCTCTCGTACCATTTGTCTGTGTGGCGTGCTGTGGTGGTATGTTCATCTCTCTTATTAAAGTGTTTGCATAGTTCCAGTACTGACAGACTCTGAGAACAGGGGTAAGAATTTGAGAGGGAACTCTTCCTAATCTGAAAGCTTTAATGTGGGGTTAGAAGCTGAAGTCAGGCAATTCCATAAAATACTGAGCTAGTGTAAGAAGCAATTGCTGTACTCATGGTTTTTGGTACAAGTCAGGATGTACTCCTGCAGTTGCCAGGACGTGAGAACCGGAGCCTGCCATTACAGCATCACAGAGATTCCTCTAAGCCTTGAAATAAGCACAGATAAACCAGGGGTTATCTCTTGAAATATTTCATGTATCATCCCGTCACAGACAATGTTTTAAATGTTTTAAAACAATTATGTTAGAATGGGGTTACTAAGTAGGAGCATACTCTGTGTTTCTGTACACTAAGTATGTTTTGAGTATTTTCAGTACAAAGTTTTCCTCCTTTTTGATGCTGTATCATTTACCAATATGAGCTTATTCCCAATGCACATGGAACGTGCACCACTCCCACTGGTGTTGACTGGAGCTGCAGGCTCAGTGCTTTTCTGGAAAAACTTCTATATTCCTACTGCTTTGACAGTTACGGGATAAACCTTTTAACTCGGATTCAGCATTGGAAAAGTCTCAAAATGCTGTTAAGTATCTTGTTAGGCTCAGAACTCCCAGATTGACGTGCAAGTTCTCATCTACCCTGGTAAAAGGAGCAAGATCCCAAGAAGCTGCTCACTGAAAAACTGAATGCAAGGAAAATTGAGAGATGCTCTGGTTTTAGCAAAGCCTACATCCCAGTTCCCCTCCATACAATATGCTGGGGCTTTGAGGACCACCTCCTGGGAGCTCTGTGGCTGGAGGAAGGACCTTCCAGTATAAGTAATCTCACTGATGCTGGTGGCACTGTGTTTGTGTACCTACAACACGTGCAGGCAAGCGCATGTTAGACTCTTCTTTAGCCTGACATGGACAAAAAGTTTAGTAAGCAGCCATTCAGACCAGCCCTAAAATGCAGCTCACCCTATGTTTTTACCAAATATCAAAAGTATCCTTTGTGCTTAGATTCTGTAACAGAATTACGTATTTAGCTGTATATTTGGCAACTACATACTTAGCTATAATAATTTTTATTTAAACCTCACATTTGTAATATTATCTATACAGAGATACCTTGGTTCTTACAAGAGTTAAACTTCTGTACCTCAACTTCATTGTTGATTCTTTTGCTGTTACTAGCGGTGGTGGGCAAGAATGTTGGACAAAATTTGAGTTGCACAAATACTTTTTTTGGCTTAAATTCCAGCAAGATACAACTGTGAGGCAGAAACAAAGACAGTTTGGGGAAAAATAGGCAGAAAAATTGATGGGACAAAGAATGATCTGAGAAGTAACTAAGTGCATTTCTGGTACTACCAAAGTGGAAGGACCAAGTTGTTATATAGTGCTGAGTCCTTGTGACAAAACCAGGTAACATTCAACATATGTTTTACATTTTAATGTAATAGTCTGGCTGAAGTGTGGGGGAAGGGCAGGTGAGGGAAGAGAAGGCAGCATCTTAGCTAGAAAACTGCGTCAAGTGACTGAGATTTAACAAGAGAATGATGTGTAAGCAGGAACGTGGAGGGGGGTGATGCCATTTTGAACCATGACCTTCAAGTACTTTCCTCAACTTTTAAAATCCTGTGTACTGGATTGCAAATGCTGTGAGCGATTTGGTCTTGTACTTACTTGTTTTTCCCTTTTCAAAACACAACAGAGTAAGCCGCTTCCGAAAGGCAGCAAGTACCAAACCTTGCCAGGGAAGCTGCCTCGACCACTGCAGAATGGAGAGCAGGGAACATGTAATTCACCAGATGGGTCTGGTGTGAATGACACCGAGGACAGCAGCTTCCTGGGCCTGAGTATGTATCTACACCTCACTGGGAGTGGGAAAAGCAAACTGTCTGCGAGGCTAGGACATAATTTGGTGTATAATCTGCTACGCCACAACAACAGACTCTGACCTTCAGGTGATGTACTTAAGGAAAGTTCTACTTCTTTTTTGTAACAACACACCAAATACATACCACATCCGCTTACTGGAGGGTAAGGGATGGCTTAAACTTAGAGCCTTCTTTTCTGTTGCACTTGATGATACAATTTGCTTACATCAATGATAGCATAAGTAATGGAGAGACACTGCTTTGGAGATTGTGGGGGGAGCGTTCTGAAAGGCAACGTATCTGTAACTAAGGATTGGAACTTTCAGAGATGCAAACGTGTTAACAGCATGAACAAGCAGTACCTTTTCCAGCACACTTCCAGTGCTCCCCTAGCTTGCTGACATCTCCTTAAAGAGCAAGCAAACAACAATGCAGAGCCAGGCACATCAGCACTGTTAACAAATGTGTGCTAGATTGAGGCACTAAGCGAAACAAACCAACCCGTGCCCTGCGATCCCGCTGCTTTTCAGTGGGTGAAACTCCACTAACGTGCACGTTTCAGGTATGGCACTGTTGGCTGCTGGAGCTTGTGGGGTCCAAGAGTGACAAACGGACTTGCTAGGTACAGAAACACACGGGTGGAGTTTCAAAATGCAGGTATATCGTTAGCTCAGAACCACAGCTGCGTGTGGGAGCCTGTGTTAATTTATTGACATCTGGAGCACGGATATACTGTAATACAGCCGGGCGCAGAGCCAAGGGCTGGAGAGTTTGGGAGCTCATGGCACAAGAGCATCTCTTGTGGTTTTGAAGTGTGCCTACACTGCTGGCAGGTTCGTGTTTGGTGGGTTTTATCTAAGGCCCCACGGTCCTAAATGCTGCCAGGGCCTGTAGCTTCATGATTGCAATAGGGTCTGGATTGTTCAGGGTTTGTTTTAAAGAATTTTTTCTGTGGTTGCAACACAATCAGTCAATGCAGGAGCCATGCTACGATGGCTTTAACTGCAGGATTATCCAGGGCTGGGTGATCTTGTAAAGGAAGTGTTCTTTTCCTAGAAACAAGCAATGACTCCTTAAATACACTGAATTAACAGTATTTTTATGCAGGTTGGTTTGTTTCTTGCATGTGAAGTGAACCTTTAAACCCCTAATTCTGTATTTCACACGAAGTTGATGTAATCTTAGACATTGCTTCATTTCAGACATTCTGCAGGTTTTGTGGAGCTCTGTAGGTCACACTTAATGTGGGGAAAATTGCCTAAGAATATTTCATAAAACCCACAAAACAGCTAAACAACAGATGAATGATCATCGCTACCTAAGATGATCTGTACAGAATTACTGGTGCTTGTGCACACCGATGCATATTCACTTCTATGTCAAGCAGCATAACTGCTTCTTTTCTTTTTGTTTCTGCTTTTAATGCTTAGCTGACTTCTTTGCTCTTCTGTGACTTTATTTTGCTGGTGTTTTATATCTTCTTTGCTTCTTCATCTGGCTTTCTGCTTCTTGGGATGACTGAAGATCGCATCAGGAGTGTCAGTGCACCAGTGCTAGGTACTGTATCCCGAACAAGATGCAACTGTAACGTGAATTTTGCTGCTTGCTATTTTCCTTTCCTTTCCCCCTCCCTTTCTCTATGGAATACTAACACCACATGGGCCACCCAGCCTGAGTTCCTGAAGTGCAGTGCTGAATGGAAGTAACAGCTTTTGCTGCATGGCAGTTGGATGGGATTCTTTTAAGATACTTATTCCTGGTCTCATTCTGTTCTCACTGAAGTTGGCAGAAAAAATCCCACTGATTTTGAGGGAGGAGTTATGGTCTTAAGAATAGGCAAGGCAGGAGTCTGAAGAGCCTGCTTCAGTCTGAGGACCTTAAATTAATAAAAATAATGGATTTAGGTACAAACGACTGAAATAACAATACTGGTTTACACAGTATCTTAATGCTTTCTGTTTGAATCATAGGTACAGCTATTGTTTTTCACCTTCTGAGCATGGGGGTTTTACACACAAACAGTTTTCTAGATATCTTTCCTTTTTTATTATGTTCTGCATTTAAACATTAGTTTCCGAGACAACAACTTTGTTAATAATAGGTATAAAATGTGACTATTGCTGTTCTTAACCCAGGAGACACGGAGAACGTGGATGGTACAGTGGTCTCAGATGACCTTTCGCCTCTTTCTTCGGGAACGGATTCAGGCCCACAATCTCCATTGTCTCCAGAAAACAGAAAGAGTCCAAAAGGGATCAAGAAAATCTGGGGAAGGTAAGGTCATTTTTAATTTTAGTTCCATGTGAAATCATTTTGGCTGAGAATGAATCCAGCTGCAAGATCTACAGTAAGACTAAAGTAAGATTTAGCAACAGGAGAGAAATCAGCTCTGTGATTGTACCAGTGTGTCTCTGTAGAATAACGGGTGGTAGGGTCCACAGCATCATGCTGTTGGAAGAAATAAGCTGTCATCTGAATGCTAATAATTGAGAATGCCCCCAGCTTCCTAACTATGAAAAACTAAATTATATTGTTTATTACAAAAAGCACTGGGCAAAAAAATGAGCGAGTACAGAAGAAACAAGTAGCAGGGGCAGTGAGGGCTACAGCGTTCACTTTTCCTGCTTCGGGACAGCAGGCGTTCACAGGTCTGGCCTGCAGGGTGGATCAGTAATGGAAGTTGAAGGGTTGTGGCTGCTCTGCAGAGCTCTTTTCTTTCCTCAGAGTTAGGTCTAGACAGCATTTGCCTGAACTTCTGCAGCTGCTACGTGAACTGGGTGTTTTCGGCTCACAGGGAGATTAATACAGCTTCTAGTTGTCACTATAGTTGCCATACAAGCAAACGTTCTCTGTTGCAAGCTAATAGTACTGTTGTGGCACTCTTGTCTTGAAAGAATAAGAAGAACTCAGTCAGGTAACTTCCCTGCAGACGACCTGGGGTTGGCAGAGTTTCGAAGAGGTGGTCTCCGTGCAACAGCTGGGCCTCGGCTGTCCAGGTCAAAGGAAACCAAAGGCCAGAAAAGGTACTGGTTGCTCTTTGCCTCTCACAGTGTATCACGGGGTATTGTTAAACGTGCTCAACAGCCAGACCCTCAGAAGTGTAATGTGTTTTCCCCAACGTGCTTCATTACACAACTGGAAAGAATGTCTTCGGTAGAAAATGGATCCCGAGTCGTTCCCTGTCCGTGCTCCTTCAGCTTCAGGGTGCAGCACTACCTGCTGTTGGAGGGTCAAAAAATACACCTTGTTAAAGAGCAGGAAAATTTACCATCGACTCCCGTGGAATGTCTGTGAAGTGCTGAGGATTCAGCAATTCCCTTTTCTTTCTTCTCAAATAGAAAACTACTGCCCCCCCTCCCCGCATCAGTCACAAGCTGAGGCCGTGCAGGCAGATGAACAGGGCACCAGTACCACAGCACGTGCTGCGAGACTGGCTGTTGGCTTTAGTAGCGCACAGGCCAAGGCACGCTAACACACCCGTGCGCTGCGGTGCTGCCTCTGACCCGCGATGAGCCTGCTGACAGTAACCATCGTCCTCTTCTTTAAGATTTTCCAAACATTTCTTGTGCTTCCCAGTGACTACAATGCTCCGTTCGCTCAGTGGAGCACTGAGAGAGTTTGTAACTGGCTTGAGGACTTCGGTCTTGGTCAGTACGTCATCTTTGCACGGCAGTGGGTGACTTCAGGCCATATGCTGTTGACTGCGACACCCCAGGACATGGAAAAGGTAATGTTCTGTTAACTGTTTCCCCCTAGCAGCCGTACATATCGATTCTTTACAACCAGGCCTCTTCAAACAACTGGCAGTTCTGCCTTTCTGAAATGTGTAGTATCAACTGTTGTAGATACCTAATGAGATGAAAAGAGCCGGAGACAAGGCAAATATTTGTTAATGGTTATTGTTGCAGGAAATGGGAATAAAGCATCCACTGCACAGGAAGAAACTAGTTTTGGCCATTAAATCAATAAATGCAAAACAAGATGAGAAGTCTGCACAGCTTGATCATATCTGGGTGACACGTAAGTGTTTGAACTGCCACGGAACGGTTTGGAAAGCAATTTCCCTCACCCCTCCTGATGGGCTGCCCAGGATGTGCTTTAAGTAGTTACCAGGCATCTTTTTAAGAGCACAAAGTTTTAACCTGGTAGGATGAGGAATTTTGTATTGTTCCCGACATCCACATATACAGTACTAGTGTGATCTTCCACGGGGAACTCTGTCACTGGCCCGCAGGGAAGTAAACGTGGGGGCTCAATCTGTCACACGCTGTCTGTAAAATATCACAGGGGTCTTGTGGATGGAGCTGCTTGGCAGGAATG